TGAAAATGTAATTAAAAACTTACCAACAAAGAAAAGCCCAGGCCCTGATGGACTCACTGCTGAATTTTACAAGACATTTAGAGAAAAACTACTACCATTACTCTTCAAACTTTTCAATGAAATTGAAAGAGAAGCTATACTTCCAAATTCATTCCTGGAAGCAAGTATCACTCTGATTCCCAAACCAGAGAAAGATACAACCAAAAAGGAGAACTACAGACCAATCTCCTTAATGAATATAGATGCAAAAATCCTTAATAAGATACTAGCAAACAGAATACAGAGGATTATTAAGAAGATCATCCATCATGACCAAGTCGGATTTATTCCAGAGATGCAAGGGTGGTTCAACATACGAAAGTCAGTGAATGTAATACATTATATTAACAAAGTCAAGGACAAAAACCATATGATCCTCTCAATAGATGCAGAAAAAGCATTTGATAAAATTCAACACCCATTCATGATAAAAACCCTGCAAAAAATTGGAATAGATGGTCTATACCTCAATTTAATAAAGGCTATTTATGAAAAACCATCAGCCAACATCATATTGAATGGCCAAAAACTGAAAACCTTCATGTTAAAATCAGGAACAAGACAAGGATGCCCACTATCGCCACTTCTCTTCAATATAGTTCTGGAAACATTAGCCACAGCAATTAGACAAGAGAAAGAAATTAAAGCAATAAAGATAGGAAAGGAAGAAGTTAAACTATCATTATTTGCTGATGATATGATACTCTACATTGAAGATCCAAAAAACTCCACCAAAAAACTTCTAGACTTAATTGACAGATTCAGTAAAGTATCTGGATACAAGGTGAATACCCAAAAATCAATAGCCTTTCTATACACAAATAACAGACAGACAGAAAGAGAAATAAGGGAAAAAATTCCTTTTACAATAGCATCCAAAAAAATGAAGTATCTAGGAATCAATCTAACAAAAGAAACAAAAGATCTCTACACTGAAAACTACAGCACTCTGAAAAAAGAAATCGAAGAGGATATAAAAAAATGGAAAGATATCCCCTGCTCCTGGGTAGGAAGAATCAACATAGTGAAAATGGCCATACTACCGAAACTGCTATATACATTCAATGCAATGCCAATTGAAATTCCAACACTATATTTCACAGAACTAGAAAAAAGAATCCAAAAATTCATTTGGAACCACAAGAGACCTAGAATAGCAAAAGCCATTATAGGCAACAGTCACATGGCACCAGGTGTAACAATTCCCAATTTGAAACTATACTACAAAGCCACTGTGATAAAATCAGCATGGTACTGGCAAAGAAATAGGCCTGAGGATCAATGGAACAGACTGGAAGACACAAAAACAAATGCAGATGTACTCAGCTACCTCATCTTCGACAAAGGAGCTCACCATCCTCAGTGGAGGAAAGATAGCCTCTTTAATAAATGGTGTTGGAAAAACTGGATATCAACCTGTCACAGATTAAAATTAGACCCTTATCTTTCGCCATGCACTAAATTAAAATCCAAATGGATTAAAGATCTAAATATTAAAACAGAAACATTAAACTTGCTGGAAAGTAAGTTAGGCAGAACTCTGGAAGACATTGGTATAGGAAAAGACTTTATGAACAAATCCTCAGTAGCACGGGAACTAGCAGAAAGAATCAACAACTGGGATCTCATCTTACTAAAAAGCTTCTGTACTTCAAAAGAAACCATTAGCAGAACTAAGAGACAATCTACAATGTGGGAAAAAATTTTTACCAGCTGTACCTCAGACAAAGGACTATTATCAAGGATATATAAAGAACTCAAAACAATCAGTCCCCCCAAATATAAAGACCCGATCCAAAAATGGGCATCCGAAATGAACAGACATTTCTCATACAAAGAAGTGAAAGCAGCAAGAAAATATATGAAAAAATGTTCCACATCACTGGTCATTCGAGAGATGCAGATGAAAACAACACTGAGATTCCACCTCACCCCACAAAGAATGGCTGCTATCAAGAAATCACACAATAACAAATGTTGGCGGGGTTGTGGGGAGAAAGGAACCCTCCTCCATTGTTGGTGGGAGTGCAGACTAGTGCAACCACTATGGAAATCAATATGGAGATACCTCAAAGAGCTTGGACTGGAGGTTCCATTTGACCCAGCCATCCCTCTGCTGGGTATCTTTCCAAGAGAACTAAAAGAATCATATCACAGAGAAGTATGTGCACCCATGTTTATAGCGGCACAGTTTGTAATAGCTAAATCTTGGAAACAGCCCATTTGCCCATCCGTTGGAAACTGGATGAAGAAGATATGGTTTTTCTATAAAATGGAATATTACTCAGCCATAAAGAACGAGAAAATAGATTCATTCATAGGAAAATGGATACATATTGAAGATATACTCCTAAGTGAAATAAATAAGTCACACATGTGTAAATACCAAATAGTTCCCCTGGTGTGAATAATCTGCAACAATGCATAAAACTCTAATAAGATTACTGACATTTAGAAATGGGAAGAATGGAGCTAAAGGTGTAGGGGAGGTGGGATGGGTAGGGGAAGAGTAAAAAGGGAAAAGAAAAAAATGTGAGAGAATGAAAAGATGAAAATAAAGTGTTTGTAGATGGGGAGGGGAGCAGGGGATGAAGGGAAGGCAGAGGTAAGGGGAAAAAATGAGAATCAAGACTTGTCATGTAGAGATACAAGACCCCAACAATGAACGTAACTGTACTGTATCCCTAAAATGTACCAATAAACTCAATTAAAGCTGAAAAAAAAGAATGACAGCATGAAGGACAATCTATGGAGTGCTAAAATATACTTGCAAATCACATATCTGAAGTTAATATCCAGAATACAGTAGACCCTTGACTTACAAACTACATAAGTTCCCAAGGGCTGGTTACAACTAAGTCAATTTAGCTGAGATTTAGATGTTTACCTGGGTACACACTATAGATAACAAGAGGCAGATGAATCTTCCATTAACCTAATTAACCCAAGTTGTCTTTAGGTCAGGCCAGTTGGAACTTGAGGGTCCACTGTATACAGAAAATTCCTGCAACTCAGCTAAATAAAACCCAACAGCCAGATTCAGAAAGGTTAAAGAACTTAAAAAGACATTTCTCCAAAGATACACAAATGGTTAATAAGCACATAAAAAGCCATTCAACACGACTAATCACTGCACAAATATAAACCAAAACTGAGACACTACCTCAAACCCAACAGTATGGCTACTGTGTGTGTATGTGACAGAGGGAGAGAGAGGGAAAGAGAAAGTGGGGGGAGAAAAGAAGAGAAAATAATTGTTGGCAAGAATGTGGAGAGACTGAAATCCTTGTGCATTGCTAGCGGGAATGTAAAACAATGCAGCCACGGTGGGGGTGGGGGTGGGGAATAAATGGAAAAAAATGGAGCAGGGAAAAAAGCCTAATACAAAGATCACATATATTATGAAATTATCAGAAAAAGCAAATCCTGAAAGATAGAAAGTAGACCACTGGTTTCCAGGGGCTGGTGGCAAGGGGAAACAGAGAGTCATTGCTTAAGTGACATGGGTTTCCACTGAGATGATGAGAATTTCTGGGACTAAATAGTGGTGTTGCTTGTAAAAACTTGTAAATGTATTTACTGACACTGAAGTGTTTACTTTAAAATAATCAAAACTGTAAATTTCATGTTGTGTACTTTATCACACTCACAATATGCACCTTCTACTCTGATCTTACCTAACTCCACGTCTGTGCTATTTGCTTTATTTTTCAAAAAATCAGTAAGTAATCACTGACATTGAATACCTACCAAAAGTGCAATTATAAGAAATATTATTTATGGCAAAAAGCATAACTCAAACCTCCTACTGTCCAGACCAGTGTTCTCCAAATTTTTGATCATTCACTCATACAAAATGTTTTAGCACAAATTGCCAAAATAGGTGTTTATAAATTATGTGACTGGTGTACTCATATATTATAAAATACACAAAAATAAAATTTAAAAGGTTGAGTAAATATAAACTGATCTCTAATCCATAACGCATTTCTCGTTGAAGAACACCTCTTGGGTTGAGTACTCTAAATTTTGTTCTTACATAAAGCAATGATCTACATTTGTTGACTCCTTAAGATTTGTCTGTACTAGGCACAGAGATTTAGCTCAGTGGTGCCACACTTGCCAGGCGAGCACAAGGTCCTGAGATCGATTCCCAGTACCTGAAAAAAAATTTGCCTCTACTAACTTTGCAATCTAAGGTGTTGTTATGGAATCTGTTTTCAGGAGGCAATGGGAGGCTGTTACATAGTGATGCCTTCTTTGTAAAGACAGATAAGAAAATATCCCTTAGGTACCTACATTAGAAATACCTGCAATGCTTCTAAAAATTTGGTTTCCTTTTTACAGTGTAACTGATCACAAAACACTAGCAGCACTATGTGCCAAAACAGAACACCAAATTTGTAGCTGACTTCTAGCATATACATCTACCAGGTGCATTTATGTCCTTTCTGGCTTTAATATGTCTTTCCATTTCTCATAGTTCTTTATTCTGTAAAAATCATATTATAGTTCATCCCAGTTTCAATTTTTCTATCCCAATTGTTCATTTACTTTTTTAAAAATCATACTGTATTGTTTGTGTGTGTTTAAAAGCACCTGAAATATTTCTTGAAAGACATGAGAAAAAAAATAAAAACCAACAAAAACTAGGCAATACAGTTTAGAATAAGGTCATTCTAAACTAGAAGCTCCCCCACGCCGGGGGTATTTTGCAGATTCTGATGCATCTAGCAGCAAAGCCCTTCATTCAAGAGGTAATTGGTAAATGAGTGGTGATGAAAAGAATGACAACTCACAATAGCACTGTACTACACATTCTCGCTCTTTTCCAGTTGGTAAGAAATGTTATAGTGAGGAAAGGACAAGTGGGTTTTTTTTTTCACCTGTGCGCAGAGATTAATTTAAAAGTCCATTTAAAAAAGCAGTCACATTGCCAGATGGAATTTGTAGCCATGTACCTGGATGTGTCTCCTTCTGGTGTGCTCAGAAGTCATTTGGGGATGTCCCGTATTGAACGCTTTCTTGTTGTGCTTGCACCGCTTCTCAAGATATCTCCGCTGTTGATTGGTGATGCTACTATATAATTTAATTCGTCTGGGTGACAAACATACTCTTTCATGGCCAAAAGCTTGGATCAATCGGGCAGTATCAATGGTGGAAATGGAGCTACTCCTTTCATGCAAAGCTACCTCTCTATCTGTTTGGGTCAATATATCTGAGTCCACAGAAGTGGTGGTGGAAAGAATGTTGGTAGTAGTATCTGTGAGCAATCCACTTTCCTCTGAGGGCCTAGAATCTGAAGAAGTGTTACTGATATAATTAAAACATGGCTGTCTTTGTAGAATATATTTATCAAATTTAATCTGTTCAATTTTAATCTGGTTGGGCACCCCAGTTTGGTGACCAGAAAGTACCTTGTGTTTTTTAAGATCACCTATGTCTTTATGCCCTTTTTCTAGGCTTTTATACCGCTTCTTCTGAAGTTTGCGTTTTGGCTGTTGCTGTTTACCATTCCATTCCTTAATATCTTGCTGTCTTCTGCTATCATCTTGCATACTTTCTGAGGCCTGGAGAGAATGTGTGATGGGATTCTGAAGAAGTTTCGCCAATCGATCAAGTCGTTCCACTAAGGACAGTTCTGTCCTGTCACCAATACCTGGAGGTTTCTGTTGCCTCTGTCGCTCCTGGTACTTGTTCCAGAGTTCATTCAAATTCAGAGTGTGCTGAGTTGTTAGCTCTGAGGTGATCTTATAGTTCTTTTGTGAATCACTAATCTGTATGGTACTTTTTGGATGATCTATGGCCTGACTTTTAGTAGTATGTATCATTTTTTTGTCACCCAAATTCACATTGATGCTGAGGCTCTTTATTCTAGTATAATCTGTATTAGTCTTGTCCACATTTTGATAAGGGGGAGAAAGACAAGTGTGTTCTTTATGCTTGTCTGAATGATGCTGAAAAAAATCTTTCCAAGATTGCCTCATGAAAACACTTTTTCCCAAAGACTCATGGCAAGTATCTTGATCACTTGGTAGGTGCACTGGGTGATGAAAGTAAAACTTGGCTGACCTGAAGACAGAATGAGTAGTATTTTCAAATTCCGAATGACATTCAGACTCTGAAAAGGAAACACAAAGTTTTGAAAGAATTTAACATTCATATTCCCTTCTGCAATACTATTTGTACTGTTTTTCAGATATAGAACAAAGATTGTAGGAAAGAACAGTTTTTATCAAGTTTCAGAAAATTCACTGCCTACACAAAAGACTCATGGGTTGGGCTTAGCAGCCCAAAAACCTTGATTCTGGGCTGCATCCTGGCACTGCAACCCCAAGGAAACACTTTAGTTCTTCAGATCCTAAGTTTAGTTGCTGTATGCCTTCATCACCTGTTATATGTGGGGTATAATTGTATATGTATTTCTTTTGTAAAGAATTTACTCCTGCAGACAAAACTGAGAAGAATAATGGTAACCCTGTTTTTAACTAAAAAACTGAAGATTATCATTTTCCTCATCATTAAATAAATAGATGGAATGAAAAGCCTTTTTCCATGTTTCATATTCTTAAAAAGTCCTTTTCTGTGAATCATCTTCACTCCCCTCTTTTATTTTGTGCCCCTTTCTGTTTCTCTTAGTTCTGTCTTTTAGGCTTTTCTCAGGCCTGCGTTGTACACTGAGTAGGAGACTGGAGCTTACTGCAGAGGTTTCCAGTAATGTTTCAGTGGTCCCTAATATAAAGGTACCACAAACATATAATTAAATATAATATATGCTGATTTATTAATACATATAGGATTATAAAATTAAATGCCTATGTCCAAAATTCTTATAATAATAGGAAAATAAAGTATACTTTTAAATGTATTTAGCAAATAATACAAAACTTACAGTCTGAAAACTAAAAAATAATGTTGTGAAATTAAGTTAAATAAATGGAAAACATCCATATTATGGACTGAAAGACTTAATATTATTAAGAAGGTACTACTCTTCAAACTAATTCTCAGCTTTAACACAATCCCTAACAGAATTCCAGTTTGATACTTTGTAGAAATTGCTAAGGTAATTCTAAAGTTCATATAGAATTAAAAGGGACCCAGAAAAGACAACATGATTTTGAAAAGTAGAACAAACTAGGAGCACTCACTCTTCCCAATTTCAAAGCTTACTATTAAAAAGCAGTAATTGAGACAGAACAGTACTGTCATAAGGATAAACACCATTAGTCAATAGAATATTACTGACAATCTAGAAACACATTTATCCATCTATGGCGAACTAATTTTTAGTGAAGGTCTCAAGATCATTCAGTAAAGAAAGAATAATTTTTTAACAGATAGTTCTATGATAATTGAATATCCACATGGAAAGGAATAAAGTTAAACCCTTACACCACATACAAAATTAACTCAAAATGGATAAATGACCTAAATGTAAAAGCTAAAACTTTAAAATACTTGGGAGAAAATACAGGGCTATAAATGTGCATTACATAGGATTTAGCAAAGGACTCTTAGCTATGATACCAAAAACATGAACAACAAAAGATAAAACAAGCTAGATAAATAGATTTTATCAAAATTTAAAACTTTTCCTTCAAAGGGATACCACCAAGGAAAATTATGCTAGGGATACAGCCCTGGGTTAAGTACTCAGCAACATACACAATTCTGTATCACAATCACAAAGACAACACACAAGAATACAATAAAAGAAATAAAGAAATCATCGCTAACTCCAATTTCTTTAAGTTTTTTCCATATGTTTTCTTTTAGGAGTTTTAATGGTTCTAGCTCTTGTGTTTAGGTCTCCATTCCATTTTGGGTTGATTTTTGTATGATATAAAGAAAGGATTAAACTTCATTCTTTCACATGTAGTTATCCAGTTTTCCAAGCATCATTTGTTATAGAGACTATCCTTGCCACGTTTTGTAGTATCGGTACCTTTGTGTTGAAGGTAAGTAATTTTATACATTTTTAATGTAAGCAGCTGGACTGGAATTATTTCCAAAATACAGCATGAGTACATTAGCTCCTTGACTTCTTTCTTTCATGATCTGGATACTCTTTTGTCTTCCTCTAAGAGGTAAAGCTTAACAGCTAGGTAGTAATGGCTTTATACTAGTTTTCTTTTATTTCATAAATATAGGGCCACAGACAAACACAAATTGACCTGATTTTTGGCTTTCTTTTTCCTACAATTAAAAAAAAATCATATTGATGATGTGATTGTCTTTGTCATGGTCTTCTGGAATACCTCTAGATTTTAGGTTTTCCCAGCTTTGTTAATGAGACATAATGTACCAAAGTATCTTTTAGGACTGCCCACAGATGCCAAAAGTACCTTATATAAAATAGGTATATAAGGTGTATATATAAGATATAAATACACATATATACATACATAACATATATGCATACATATATGTATGTATAAAATGGGAGGTATTTGTATATAACCTAAACACATTTTCCTATTATATAAGCATCTGTTACAGTGTTACACTTCTTAAAGGTAAGAAAAAAGTCTGTCTGTATATTTTCAATATAGAATTAATTTTTTCCTCAAATGCTTTTGATCTAGAATTGATTCCACAAGTGAAGAATCCATGGATAAAAAAGATCAACTCTATTTGCTTATAATCCTGTTTCTAAACTGCTGTACCTTTTCCCATAAGTAACAATTATTTTAAAAATCAATAGGTATGCATGTCCAAATAAAATAGCATTAAAATAATTTGCATACAATAAAGAAAAAATTACCTATTTAAATTGTGAAGCTGTATTTTCATCAGAATAAAATAGAAACACACCTCAAGACCATACTCTTAAATGAAATAAATTGACACATTTGTATAAACACCAAATTGTTTCTCTGGTGTGAGAAACTGAAAGTGTAAATGAGGACCAAAATTTATAACAGATATTGTGAAATAAGAAGAAAAGGTTCAAAAGGAAAGGAAAATGGAGGGGGGTAACAACAAAAAGAAGGAAAAAATGGAAAAAACGCTTTTGTACATAGGGAGAGGCAGAGGGGCTGAAGGAAGGGAAGGGGAATGGGAAAAAATAAGAACCAAGACATATCATGTACTATACAAATTCCCAATGATGAATGTGATCATAATGTATACCTAAAATGTACCAATAAACTTAATACATTTTAAAAAATAAAATAGAATCACACATCACACAGGAATGGGAAAAAATAAGAACCAAGACATATCATGTACTATACAAATTCCCAATGATGAATGTGATCATAATGTATACCTAAAATGTACCAATAAACTTAATACATTTTAAAAAATAAAATAGAATCACACAGACATTGACACTTTTATACATAGACAGACACACCCTTAATTCCATTACCTGAAATATCTATGTGTAAGGATTCTTTCTCCTCTGTCCATGCTTCTTTAGGAATAGTCCCCTTAATATGGATCTCATTTTGTTTAGTGGCTTTAGTGTCTGGTATGCTTTCAGTCTTTGTGACTTGTACTTGAGCTGTGTTCTCTGCAGGAGAAGCATCAATGGAATCTAAGAGAGGAAAAGTAACACATCAGCAACAGCAACTTGACAAAAAATATTTAAAATGCCTCTAAAGCATCTACTATGTGAAGGCATGGATACCGGTGTTAAAAAAAATAAAAAGATCAGAAATTTGTTTAGAAAATGGTCTAAAATGAAGAAATAAAAAACCCATTTAGATAAACATGTTATAAAATGTTAAAGAATTATACCACAGAGAGAAAAAAGTTATAAGTAATTAAAGAAAAAACTAATCAAGAATTATCAGAACTCTGGACAACTGATTTGGGTGTTAGAAAATGGGATACAACTTGAAGTAGAAAAAGTAAGGCATTTTAGGTGAAGACACTGACAGATGTGGGAGTCGGGGAAGATGCCCCGTGCAACCCTAGGAGACAAAGTACATACACTGTTTATTTGGTTGTAGAATCTATAAGGAAAAGTGGTGAGAACTACTATCGAAAAGGTTGGGAGCTGGTGCCAGTGTTCTGAGAGACTGCTAAAAGTTTGAATTTTACTTTTAAGAGCAATAGAGATCAAAATTGTTTACAGAACATTCATTTAGCAATAATAATAAAGGGATAAAATTCTTAAGTATTTCTAAGAATATAATCTAACTTCTTTAAAAAGTAATATATGAAGAAGAAAAGTTGCTAATTCTGCTCTAAAATGTGTTTCTAGTTTACAATTGTGGCAGAAATACCAGCTGTCCTCTAATACCTGTTTTACCAGAATAAAGAGATTTCACAGCCTTCCTGGCAAGGTGGCTTAGTGGAATAATGTGACGAAGTCCGGCCCATAGGAGGTAAGGGGAGGTACAGAGTAAATTTAACTTTTATGAAGTACTCTCAAAGAAAGAAATACACCTTTTTCTTTTCTCTTCTTCCTGATAGCTGGCATTTGGTCTAATACTTACAGTTAGGGAATGGAGGTCAAAAAAGTTATAGAGCAACAGAAAAGAATAAGCATTGTTATGTGATACTCTGAGTACTAGATGTCTACATCTGAACGCTGTATTTCTTCTTTCTTAAAACAATGTTGTTACTGTTTTCATCTCAGAGACAAAGGTAAGCCTAACTAAACATTATAGGTTTTTTTTTAATCAGCATATTCCTGTTGAAGTAAAATATCTAACAGGTAATTTGGAAGTAAACAAGCTGAATTCCTAAAGAATAAAGGCTTATATACAACAATAGTATTAGAGAATCAGTATCTTATGGCATTGAAATGCTTTACCAGTAAAGGAAAAAGCCCATTAAGTGAACTTCTGGCAATGAGATTAATTTGTGTATTATATTAAAAAATTAAGTAGAACCTGAAAGAACCTTAAAAATAGCAATTTAAACTGCTGAAAAATGTAGCTACAAATGCTTCAAGTAGTTCACATATGAGTATGATAGAGGAGGATTAAAAATAGCAAAAAGAGACCAGAAAATACATTTGTTTATATTCATAAGGGAAAAGTCTCACTTCAGTAGACCAGAAGATAAAAATATACTGACAAACCCATTCAGCTACCTGCAGTGACTTTTTGCATGGATTCTTTTTCTTCAGGCCAGGCAGTCTTGGTCATTACTCCTCGACTGAAGATATCCTCTTTCTGGTTTTTGTCTGAGAGGTTCTCACCCCCAGTAATGGCTACCTGAACTGCAGCTTCTGGAACAATGACATCATTTGATACCACAGAGAAGAAAGATAACAAGCACAATAGACAAGCAATCTTGCTACTTGCCCCCCAAAACACATGAAAACCCCAAGCCTCTTTATAAATTGGGAAAAAGGTATCTATTAGGTTCCACTATGTAAAAATTGTGACATGAACTGGAAGTTTTCCTTATTTTTCTGTGTACAACATTTAAAACCTATTTTTTGATAAGATATAGTAGTAAAAATAGGTATAGATCAAGTTGTTTTTCAAAGTAAAAAAGCAGATTTGAACAATGCTTTCAATTTCTTTAGCCCATTCAAAGTTTTTATCATTTATGGAGCCAATTCTGGTATTTCACATAGTCCAAGAACAGTATTTACATTATCTAGATTTTATATACAGCATTATCATACTTTTTAAAAAATCTAATGTAGTTATATATTTTGAAACTTGTCTAATTGTCTTTTCCTCTTTTTTTATGTCATTTCCTATCTCTATATTTTTTAACAGAGAAATCAGAAAGGCAATAGGAATTACTAAAAAAAAAAAAACTCAGTCATTGTTTTATCATACTATCTTTTCTTTTAAATTCATTAATTTTTCTTAATTCTATTATTTCAATTCCCCTAATCTCTTTCATGTAGATGTCTGATATCTTTTGAACATTAAAAAGTTAATGAAATATTTCAAGCATACATACCAAAAGTACAAATAAAATGAACACTGAGTATCTACAACTGAGTTTAAGAAAATATTACAGACATAATTCCTTGTGTGAAGTCTCAATGCTATTCTCTCTTCTCAGTAGTAACCTTCATACTGAATTTAGAGTTCATTAACTGCAAAAATATTTTAATTCATTAATTACATTAATATCAGTATTAATAATGTACAGCCTTGTCATAAATGTACTCTATTTTATATAGAGTATAATACTGTATGTACCTTTAAGCAACATGCCTTTTTTTGTGGGGGGTGTTGAGACAGAGTCTCACTATGTAGTTGAGACTGAGAGACTGACCTAGAACTCACTATGTAGCCCAGGCTGGTCTGGAACTCACAGCAATCCTCCTGCCTCAGCCTCCCGAGTGTTGGGATTACAGGCATGCACCACCACACCCAGCTAAGCAACATGCCTTTTGAGGGCTGGGGATTTAGCTCAGTGGCACCATGCTTGGCTTGCAAGCACAAGCTCCTGAGTTCAATCCCTGGTACCAAAAAAAAAAAAGTTATGATTTTGAGACTTAGTCACATTAATATATGACTTTTAATGGTGTGTAGTATTCTAATGTATTAACATATCAATTCACCTGTTGATCAACATAAAACTATATCTGATCTTTTAAAATTGAAGAGCACCAATAAGCATTCTTATAAATCTTCCCATTGGTTATGTGAATTATAAGTATCTTCCCTTATTCTGTCTTTTAATAGCTTATAATGTACTTTAGGCATGAAATTTGTAGTTTTAATAATGGCAGATTTATTTTGCCTTTAGGGTCTGTGCTTCATTTGTCTTAAGAAATCTTTACACTATGGTCAAAAGGATAAACCATCTAAATTACAGAAGTTTAATTTATTTTTTCTTTTTGACAGTAACTATACCTGGAGTACATTTTTCTTCAGTGTGCAATAGGGATCTGATTTTCCCATATGTATATGTCCATGTGTGTGTGTGTGTGTGTGTGTGTGTGTGTGTAGTATGTGTGCAAACACTATTGAATAATTCATCTTCATCCTTTCTCCATAGACTGTCATGCCATCTTGCTATATACTGTAGTAAGTTTCTATAGTCAAATGTGTTTCTTGGCCATCAGTCTGTTTTATATTTGTTTATTCCTTTACAAATCATACCTTAAAATAAGCTACATATAAGTCTTTATATCCGGTATGGCAAATTCCCTTACTTTTTCAACCTATTTTAAAATTTACCATAAAAATGTTTAGAATCAGCTGAGCGGAGTGGCATCTGCCTATAATCCCAGAACTCAGGAGGTTGAGGATTGCTATGAGTTTGAAGCCAGCCGAGGCCACACAGTGAGTTCAAGGACAGCCTGAACTACCCAGGGAGACATTGTCACCAAACGAACAAAAAACAAGACATTTATAATCAGCCTGTCGAGGTATCTGAAAAAACCCTCCTAAAATTCTGAGTAGCAATGCAGTAGATTCAAACATTAATTTGGTGAGAAATGATACCTTTATTACTGCTACTCCATGATTCTCCAATTATTTAAGCCTTCCTTAATATATTTCAATGCGGTTTTATAATTTTCTTTACAACAATCATGCCTGTCCTTTTAGGTGTATTTCTAAATATATTTTGTTTAATCTTTATCATGTAGTAGAAAATATATAGAAAAATACTCAAATAGAACAGTGAATTATTAAAAAGTGAGGCTATGTATAAACTTACATAAGTCCATATATGGAAAATTTGTTTCAGGATTTTTTTCCTCTTTGATCAAGTCTGTTTATTTGAAAATGCAACCCATTTTTCCTTACACTGCACAGTTAGCTCCATGTGGTTTAGTGATGAGATCAATTTAATGTAATCAATTTCCTTGGGTTGTGAAACAAATCACTGCAAATTGGGCAGCTTTAAATAAAATAAACTTAGTTCATACCTAGAGGCTATAAGTCTGAAAATCAAGTGTCTGCTAGGCCACCCTCCCTAAGAAAGCTCGAAAGGAAAGTCTAGGAGTATCTCAGTCTGAAATAAACAGAACCTAACTATTTCAAACATACCTTCTTTACCAAATGAAGCCCAGAGGTGAGATACTGCTACTGAGTTCTTTGTGGAGACTTCTGATGGAGTTCATTTAATCTATAATCTGTTCCCTGCCAATTTTTCAAATCTACCATCTTAGAAAGCTTCTGACAGCAGGATCTTAAGGTATCTGTCAACTCAATTGCCACTAGCATAGATGGACAGTAGCAAACAGCTAAGAGATTCCCTAGGGCATGAGAGTTTTCATTTATGAACTTCATTTTACAAATATATTTCTCCTTTTATTTACTTGGCAGCCCCAATGTTAGCAGACAAACATGCCTGTTTCTATCGTGTTTCAAAAGGCATTTAAAAATAGACTTCTAGGGCTGGGGATTTAGCTCAGTGGTTCTACTGCCTGCCTCACAAGCACAAGGACCTGAGTTCGATCCCCAGTACCAAAAAGTATATAAATGAATAAAAAAATACAGACTTCTACATGCTTTGCCTTGTGGTAAAATTATCCAGAAGAATAAATGCATGTGTTTTAGCATATGTTCATCCTTTTTATTCACCAAGTCATCAATATGATGCCAAAACTAGAACATACAAGCACTCTGGTTTAAAATTCCTAGAATCGGTAGTGTTTATGTGACTAATACCCATGCACAGGAATAAAAAAGTGTAAATGTAACAAGCATAGCAATTATACATACAAAAATTTCAGTAGCTATTGGAGTTTTCATTTAATACTTATTATCATGTATAAATCAAAGAAGTACAATGTCTGGGATGCAGAAGAAAGGCAAGTGGGTCCCTTAAGATTAATATCATTTATAAAAACAGGGGTCTAAATCTAGGGCTAAGGTTGGAAATCAAATACCCACATTGACCAGACAGATTAAGTAGCTGAATGAAGCCTCTTGAGTTGGACTGTTACAGGGACTAAAACAATCAGGAGAACAAATCCTGTCCACAGGGTACAGCCATAGCTCAGCTGCAGCTGACTATTATTGCCTTGGTGGAACATGAGCTCAATCCAAATATAGTCTACTTTTTCAAGAGAAGCCCAAAATCTTATTTTTAACTGTTTGGCAGCAATATCATCATCATCATCAACATCATCATCATCATCTGACAGAAAAATTCCTAAGTCAATTTAATCAAGATTTTCCATGAACTTTAGTCTCTAAAACATACTTGATTGGGAATTCATTTCAAAAACTTCAATATTATCTTATTTCTCAAGGTGAAAATAATTTTCAAACATTTCTGAGGCATTTTAAATAATTTTATAAATATTTTCTCTTCTTGCATATGCCCAGTATATATAAAGGAAGAAATGTTTACAAAAACAAATATAAAAAAGAACATAGATGATATTCTTGCTTTGGATGCAAAGGGGGTAACAAGCCATTCAATTACCTGATTTTTTGGGGGGGTACAGGGGATCAAACTCGGGACCTTGAACTTGAGAGGCAGGCAGCAGCACCACTGAGCTAAATCCCCAGCCTCAATTACCTGATTTATCTTTCTGAAAGGTCTTTTTCCCTACAGACAAGGATGCCTTAGTTACTGCTCTCTTACTGTAGATCCCTTCCTTATGTTTAATGTTCACAGTGGATGGCAGGTCATCATCTCTTGTGCCTAGCACCTGGGTTGGAAAGTCTGGAGCAATAGCATCATTGGATCCTACAGAAAAAATGGCAAAGTAATATAGTTAGAACAAATAAATACAGACTTGAAGTTGAGAAAGACATTTTAAAAATTTGCCTCTTTGACCACTTCTATGAAAAAAGGCACCACAATTGGAGTGGTGCAGGGTAATCAAAAGGAGATGCCTGTCAAACTGGGCTATGAGACACAAAAAATAAATACCAATAAAACAAAATAGAGAAACAAATAGCATTATAGAAGATATAGGTGGAATATTGATCAATTCAGAAAAGTTATTTCCAAAAACTCAGCAACGTTTTTGGAGGAAGGAAAAACTATCTTGGAGGGGGGAAAAAACAAGTTTTTGGTTTGGAGAGGAAGGTAGGGTAGAAAGGCATTTTAGGCAGAAGTTACTGCATAAACAAACATAAAGAATATATAAAAACAGTAGATACTTTTATTGTCATACTGGGTTGTAGGACACAATAAGAAAAATATAGGAGATATTTAAAAATAATTGCTTGGGACAAAATTTAGCAGTCCTTAGAATCTCAAAAGGGTATAAATTTTATTGTACATGAAATGAAAAACCATTGAAGATTTTTTAACAATTAAATAATGTAATTAGCTATGCTATTTATAAAGATTTATCTTCTAATACATAAGGCAAAACATTAAAAGGAGGGTTGGGGATATAGCTGAGTGGTAGGACACCTGCTTTTGCATATGTGGCAAACTAGGTTTGATCCCTAGCACTGTAAAGAGGAAAAAATAAAATACTCTAAAAGGAAGATATGAAAATATTCAAATTTCTGTATGTACTTTGTTCTATCTCTACTGGCATTACTCTTGATATTTGGTAGTGCCATCTCTGACACTGGTAACGTTAACATCCTTCTAATTGTGGCTTCACTTAAACTCTTAACTCTGACTTCCCATCAATAAGTTATTTCTCCATATAGCAAACAAAATAAATTTTGCAAATATAAACCAAACTACAATTTCCTATTAGAACAAAATCTAATATCTTTGATATGATTTACAAGCCCTTACATAATCTTGAACTTACCACACTTGCTTTACCAGGTTAAATAAAATTTATAGGAAGACAGTTTTAGACTGAGTTCCTGCACAAGGCTCCAACAGACTAGATCAAAATGGAGTAAATTGTGCTAAATGCCATGCAATCAAACTGAAACTTTAAAGGAACAGGAAAATAATCCAAACAAACCAGTTTTTAAAATTAGTATGCTTGTGGTACCTAATGAATAATTCATTGTGGTAGTTGGTACATGTACATGACACAACTTTTTTTATATCCCCCAACATCTCTTAGTACATATGCCAAAGTCTCCTATTTCCTATTTAGACCAGTTTTTGTTTTTTGTATAGAAACAGAAGGTTCACACCAACTATTTGAAAAGGCCAACTTAATATGAGATGGTATTAAAAAGGACGTCTTTTCCTCTTACAAAAAGAGTAAGCTTATGCTCACCAATCTGCTTTTTCTGGTAGTACATTGTTTTCTGTTCCAGGTACAGTTACCTATCTTAGTTACTTTTCTTGTTGCTAATACAAAATACCAGACACACAAAGTTAAGAAGGAAAGGTTTATTTGGCTCACAGTTTGTAGAGGTTTCAGTCTGTAGCTAGCTCCAAGGCAGGGTCGTATGGCAGAGGGACATCACAGAGGAGAAACACTCCATGACAAAGCAGGGCAGGCAGAAGGTAAACAGAGTGAAGTAGCAAGCAGCAAGGAACAACACTAGCCCTCTTTTTGTCCCTTATATTTTATCCAGGCTTCTTGTCCTTAAGGCAGGTAGCACTCAGTCAGGGTGGGGCACCATTAATCTTATCCAGACCTATGCCAAACTGTTCAGTGGACTACTTTAGTAATCTCACACTCTTGAATCCAGCATCACACACTTAATCTGTTATCACATGGTCTAGATTCAGCCACATCTAAACAGCCCCACCTATGTCAGCATGAAGCTTTGCGGGGGACATCTAGATATAAATTATAATACTACCTTATCAAAACCAACTGTTCTATCATGCCTAGCACAGCAACTTTTCTAAGTGTGGGTTGCTGTATGATTCATGAATTTTTAAGAAAAAACAATTCAACCTTTAAATCTATTGAAAAAAATTTTAAGAATCCACACTGGCTTTTCATTTATCAAATGCATCAAGTGCCTACATTATGCTAGGCATGGTGGCACATGCCTGTAATCCCACCGGAGGCTGAGGCATGAGGCAGAAGGATCTCTGTGAGTTTGAGACCAGCCTGAGCTACATAGTGAGTTCCAGGTCAGTCTCTACATAGTGAGATCCTGTCTCAAAAAAAAAAAAAGTGCCTAAATTATTTTACATTCCTACAGCAAAACAGAAGGATTCTAATTCTGTCTAATTAATTCTTCACTAATTTTTTGAACAGTAGTGATATTGAGTATAAAATGTTATCTTATTATAGTTATGGCTTGTACTTTCCCCATGACTATGGAGGGAGAACATCTTTTTATGTGTTTACTGGTTATTTGCAAAACTTCCTGAACAAATACAGATTTAGATTCTTCAACCATGCATAAATCAAATTGTTTGGGTTTTTGTTGTTGAATTATAAGAATTCTTCACATACTCTAGATACTAATCCTTCAACAGATAAATGATTTATAAATATTTAGTCTTATTCATGAGTTATCTGTTCATTCTTTTGGTGGTAATTCTTGGATGTACAAATATTCAAAATCACCCATTTTTCTATTTTTACCTATGCTGCTGATGTCATGGTATACATTTATAAAAACGTAAACTTTTCTCATCCTACATTTTTCCCATCAAGTCTTGAATGAAAAGAAAAACTCTTCAGTCTCTTCTATTATACACAAAAATGTAATTAAATGGGTTTTTCATCTTGTATCTTTCACTCTGAAATATTTTTGGCATTTTTTTTTAACTTTGTGATTAAATATTGGTAAGAAATGTCTTTTTATGGCCATACTACTTGATAAAATATGCTGCTAGGGTCTACAAATCCTTGAATTATATTTTTCCCACTAAATACAGATTTTTCCTCTGCTCATTTCTGACATTCAGTATCTAACAAGGGAAGTTTTATTTCATTAGCTATATAAGTTTTTTAGAATATTCAATGCTTTTAAGTTTAAATATATTTAAGTTAAAATTTTTGTACAGTATATATCTCTATCTCTTGCTACTTATTTTTGCTTGGATTATTTGAGAACTTTAAACCCATATATTATTTTCTTTCCATTTTAGAAAGAAAATTTTTATTCAAGTCTTGAATATTATTTTCACTCTCAGTTCTAATATCTACAAATATAATATTTGGTCTGGTGTTACTAGCTGTGTTTATATCTTTTCATGTTTTAATTTTATTTTTTTCTTTTCACTTGTATTTTTAGAGACTTTTTCAAGTTTGTCTTTCTCACCAATCCATTTTTTCCATGTTAATTTTACTTTTGTCTGAAAAATACATTTTAAATCTATCACCAATTTTTTACTTTTTTATTCAGTTTTTCCTTCTTTTGCTCACTTCTGCCTCTTCCTTTTTGAAACAAAAAAGGGCATATAATTTACCTAAAAAAATTATCAATTAAATAGTTCAAGTTTTTTTAATGTATTCACAATGAACACTGCCAATTCCATCACATTTTCATCACACCAGAAAGAAACTCTGAATGTACAAGTATGAGCAGTTATTCCCTATTTCCTCTTTCCCCACAGTCCCTGTCAACCATTATGCCACTTTCTGTCTCTCTCTGGATTTATCTATTCTGCACATTTCATTACATGAAACAGTACAATATGTGACACTTTTGAGACTTGTTTGACTTTACTCTTTATTTTTCCCTTTAATTATTTAGTTTTAAAATGTAATACCAATCAAAATAAAAACAGCATTGCTCATGGAACTACAGAAAACAATCCTAAAGCTCAGAAGAGACTAAGAATAGCAAAAGAAATTCTGGGCAACAAGGGCAAGGCAGGAGGTGTCGCAATCAGACACTTCAAGTTATATGACAAAGTTACAGTAATTAAAAAAGCACGGAATTAGGTTTAAAAAACTCTCTTGTAGAACAAAGGAACAGAATAGAGGGTACAGATGTAACTCCAGGCACACTCAGATACCTTAATCTTTGAAAAAGGAGACAAATACTTTTGCTGGAGGAAAGATAGCCTCTTTAACAAATGGTACTGGGAAAACTGACTATCCACCTAAACCCATACCTCTCCACCATACACTAAACTAAAATCAAAATGAATCAAAGATCTAAATATTAAAATAGAAACAGTCTTGCTGCAAGACAAAATAGGTAAAACTGAAGACACAGGCATAGGCAGAGACTTTCTGAACAGAACCCAAGTTGCACTAGAAAACACTAAGAGTCAACAAATGGGATCATATCAAATTAAAAAGCTTCTGGGTAGGGCAGGGACAAGGGGAAAAAATGAGAACCAAGACTTGTCATGTAGAGGTACAACATCCCAACAATGAATGTAACTGTACTGTATCCCTATGTACCAATAAATTCAATTAACGCTGAAAAAAAAAAAAAGCTTCTGTACAGCAAAGGAAACCACCAACAGAGTGAGGAGAAAATATATACAATGGGAAAAAGATTTAGCCAGCTACTCCACAAAAGACTAATATCTAGAAAATATAAAGAACTCAAAAAAATTAGACTCCTCCCAAATTTAAATATCCAATCACACAATGGGTATCTGAAATGAACAGATACCTCTCAAATGAAGGATACAAATACCCAATAAATACACACAAAAAAATGTTCAACATCACTAGCCATTTGAGGAACACAAATTAAAACATTTCATTCCAGAAAGAATAGCTATCTTAAAGAAATCAAGTAATAACAAATGCTGGAAAGACTGTGGGGAAAAAGAAACCTTCATTGTTGGTGGGAATGTAAACTAGTACAACTACTGTGGAAATCAGCATTGAGATTGCTCAAAAAACTAGAAACAGAAATTCCAGTTGGCCCAGATATTTCCCT